GTAAGCGACCAAAGGTGCCTCATCTGAAACATGGACCATACATTCTCATCTATGATGTCTGAGAGACTGCCTAACACCTCTCTAGGATATTGTTTATATATCTATCTCTGTCATGCAGCTCATTTAAAAACTGGGTGCAGCTGTGAGGTCAGGTTATTCTGCATTTGCTGACCAGAAGGTCACCTCAAGTCAACCCTACACCGGGATCCCTAGATGGTTTAGTGCGATACTGAGTGCAAATTCTATTTTGGCATGACTCTAAACTAAGTCACTGGATAGTGTGTCCACACAATTTAGCTGAAAACTGTACATTATTTCAGAGCCTTTTGTTTAAAATCTTTTGGTATACAGCGAGCTCAACCTGGTGAACAACAGAAATAAAGTCTGGAGAAGTGGGTTAAAAAAAAATAAAAAAATAAAAGCGTGCCCAGATGCAATAGATCTATGTGGGAAATTTCTGAATATCTATGTGAGATCTTGTCAGAGGCTCAGAACAAGTAAACATATTTATTATGATGGTGAACAGAAAAACCATGCAGGTATGAGCTGAAAATGTATGTGTGCGTTTTAGAGTTTAGTTTGTCTGTCTGAGGAGGAGGGGAGGGTTGTGGGTAGACTTGGCACCCTCAACTCTCAGGTGAGAGCTAAGTTAATTATAATCTGTTGAGGATTTATTTACTATTTCAGTTAATTTTTTTTTTCTATGAATCTTATTAAATAAAACTTCTGAATAGCCTTAAAATTTTAACTTTCTATATGAAAATTATTTCTTTATTATTTTGTCACTTTATTTTTTTATAATGAAACATTTCTTTAATTATACATAAATATTATAATATATATATATATTAGGTTGGTGCAAAAATAATGTCGTTTTCTCTTTTGAAGTTGAACGTCAAAAAACGACATTATTTTTGCACCAACCTAATATACAATCCTAAAATATTATAATCATATATATATACACATTAAATATTATAATCATATATTATATATACATATCATAAAATATTATTTTGACTTTGAGAACAAAGATTTATGAAGTGGGCTGTCCATGCCAACTGCAAGCATGCTGAGGGCGGACTAGGCCAATATGGGACAGGAAACTCTGGCCACAGCGACTGCAATTAAAGGTCTGGTCTGGAATAACTGCTGAGGCTACCTAGTCCTTCCTCCTGTGGCATTTCTCCTTCAGGTTGGGCCTGTGAGAGTCCTCAAAGATGGAGACAGCCTGGTAGACGGTGCGGCACCAGGCTTAATGGTCAGCAGCAAGTGTTGACCACTGGCGATGGTCAATGTGGCAGGTACTGTGGGACTTCTTGAGGGAGTCCTTATAACACTTTATTGGTGCCCCCCTGTCATGGTGGCCAGTGGAGAGTATGCCATACAGGGGTATTTTGGGTAGCCGATGGTCCCCCATTCTGTGACTTCAGCAACATAGCTTCAATGCTGGTGATTTTCACCTGTTCGAGGACCTCAACATTGGTGACTTCGTCACTCCAGTGAATGTTGAGGATGGTATGGAGACTGCACTGATGGAAGTGCTCAAGGAGTCATAAATATTAATAATATATATATATATATATATATATATATATATATATATATATATATATATATATATATATATATATAAAAATCATAAAATCTTCCGTACTTTATAATTACAGCCCAATTATAAACACAAAATTACATTTCTTAATTACTGCGGGTTTTTTGATTAGTCAAAACGATACAATTTACAACGTGGTAAAAAAAGATCTATCTCATAAGGACATTTACGAAACCAGATGCGGCTTTTAACTAATTCTATAATATTTTAAAAAATTAAATGTAAAAATCTATAATAATTAAGAAATAACAAATAATTGTATTAAAAATTCATTTTTAATCGAAAAAATTTTTTGCTTTCAGAAAATATTGTCCATATGCATAAAAGCAAATAAAAGCATTTGAAATTAAATAATATCTTTGTTTTATTGAGTTTTGTATGTTACAATTCAGAGCTGATTTTCAGGTATGGGACGTCCAATTAAAAACAAAAAAAATGATTTGCATTCCTCAAAGCCTTGTGCTTCAACTATTGTAATCATTAAACTAGACTCAATTGAATTTCTAGTGTTTTCATAAAATTAGTTATTGGGGGCGGGGGTAATAAATATAAAAAACATGATTTGCATTCCTCAAAGCCTTGTGCTTTAACTATTGTAATCATTAAACTAGACTCAATTGAATTTCTAGTGTTTTCATAAAATTAGTTATTGGGGGCGGGGGTAATAAATATAAAAAAATATTTCTGCCAGGACTTTAATAATAAAAAAACATTTATAATAATTTTGATTATCTGTGAATAGTTCCTGAAAGTTTCAGTAACATCTGACAATTATTTATATTTTTGCAAGATTTTCCAAATTAATGTGTGTCATACCAAAAAAAATGTGCTAAAAATTGTCTATGTTATTTACTAGTTCCGCTGATAGAAAGAGAAACAAGGTTTTTTTTAATCAAAATTTAAAATGTGCTAAAAAGAAGGAAAATTTTTTAAAAATAATTAAAAAAAACTTTCCTCTTAATAATAACATAAGCATTTAGACAATAAAATTTTGTTTTCAACAAGATTGGCATCTTTTTTTAACGATTTTATGGAGGTACCTATATGATTATATATATATATATATATATACATATATATATAATTATTTATTTGAAAATTCTTTTAAGAATAGTAATTGTTGGTTATTGGAATTTATTCTGTGTACACCACTCCTATACTTGGATATTAGCTCCTATTACTGTCGAGCACTGTCTATTCTATTCTTATACTATGGATAGAATCAATTTCGAATTATCTCTTAAGAACATTCCCACACGAACAAGAGGGATTATTTGTGATTTTATAACATATTTATGTTATAATTTTCGAATAAATAATTATATTCGCTCTACTCTGTATTGAGCACTCTTTTAAGAATAGTAATTGTTGGTTATTGGAATTTATTCTGTATACACCAATGCTATACTTAGATGGATATATATATATCCTAAAATATTATAATCATATGATATATATATATATATATATATATATATATATATATATATGTATCCTATAAAAATATTATAATCATAAAATATATATATATATATATATATATATATATATATATATATATATATCCTAAAAATTATAATCATATATATATATATATATATATATATATATATATATATATATATATATCCTTATTAAAAAATATTATAATCATATGTTGTTATATATATATATATATATATATATATATGTATCCTAAAATATTATAATAATCATATATATATATATATATATATATATATATTTATTAAAGACATTTTATGTTTAATATTGTTATTTATAGAATAAAAATGTCATATGATTTAATAAATAAATTATATATACCTTGTCCATTTCTTATAATATATATATATATATATATATATATATATATAAAATATTATAATCCATATATATATATATATATATATATATATATATATATATATATATATATATATCCTAAAATATTATAATATATATATATATATATATATATATATATATATATATATATATATATTATAAATATGATATATATATATATATATATATATATATATATATATATATATATATATATCCTAAAAATATTATAATATATATATATATATATATATATATATATATATATATATATATCCTAAAATATTATAATCATATGATATATATATATATATATATATCCTAAAATATTATAATCATATGATATATATATATATATATATATATCCTAAAATATTATAATCATATGATATATATATATATCCTAAAATATTATAATCATATGATATATATGATATATATATATATCCTAAAATATTATAATCATATGATATATATATATATATATATATATATATATATATATATATATATATAAAATATTATAATCATATGATATATATATATATATATATATCCTAAATATTATAATCATATGATATATATATATATATCCTAAAATATTATAATCATATGATATATATATATATATATCCTAAAAAATATTATAATCATATATATATATATATCCTAAAAATATTATAATCATATGATATATATATAATCATAAAATATTATAATCATATATATATATCCTAAAATCCTAAAAATATAATCATATATATATATATATCCTAAAATATTATAATCATATATATATATATATATATATATATATATATATATCCTAAAATATTATATATATATATATATATATATATATATATATATATCCTAAAAATATTATAATCATATATATATATATATATATATCCTAAAATATTATAATCATATGATATATATATATATATATCCTAAAATATTATAATCATATGATATATATATATATATATATATCCTAAAATATTATAATCATATATATATATATATATATATATATATATCATATATATATATATATATATATATATATATATAAATATATAATCATATATAAATATATAAAATAAAATATAAAAAAAAAAAAAAAAAAACATGTTGGGAGTTTGTTATTTTAGAAAATTAAATAAAAATAATTCAAATGAGTCCTGATCCTGTTCAAGCAGCTTTAATTTTAAATCCACTTTTTAGATTACTTTAATGATCAAGTTTGGACTTGCCCCACAAGGGGACTTCTTGATAATTCACATGTAAGCAAAAGAAATACCTTTGAATACTAGAAATACCTTTGAAAATTTTCACAATTTTCCTATTTGAATTTTCTGATCATTGAATTCATGGCGAATTCGATGAAAATAAAATATCTATAGAAATTCTCCTACCACATTGTTAAATATTTGAGCTTAACAACTTTAATAAAGTATTGCAATAACGATCATAAATATGAATGCTGGTTGTTATTTTAAAAATAAGTGGGTACAAATGAAATTTGAAATTAAAAATATGTAAACACCAGTTCCCATACAATCTCCAAAGTTAAGCAACATTGAGCCTGGTGAGTACCTAGATGGGTGACCACTTGGGAATACCAGGTGCTGTAAGCTTGGATGTGTGGGTGGTGTAATGGATTATGGCTCAAAATTGTTAATTAGTGAGCCAAGTTCCAATTCAATTTGGGTTTGTTTTATTTATTTATGCACAAATACTATTTGGAAAGGTATGAATCCTCCTATTCTCCCCCTGCTATGGGTTAATTAGTAAAACTTGTATTACTAAAAACCATATTATCTCAAAAAAATTACATACAAAATATTTAGATTTTGGCATTAAATAACCCATAGAAGTTGATATGCCACTCAACAAAATCAATCAACCTACAAGTAGACATAGCAGCATAGTCCTGGGTAGGACATTAAACTACATCCAGCAGCAAAACTTCTGATCAGAAGATTGGAGGTTTTGAGGAGCATGGAACCAATTGCTGCTGTTCCAGGTTCACCCTTACCCGGGGTGGTAGCACCTGTTAGGGTCCCAGCTATGGGCAAATAGTGAACCCCCAAACAAAAACAACACAATAAAAGTATAAAAATATATTTTTTTAGTGAAGATGCCAGCAATATATTTTTATATTAAAACAGTTATGAGCAATACATATTTATCGTAAAAATACGACCAATATATTTTTACAGCAAAATGACCAACAATAGATTTTATTTGTAGTTGAAGCTATAAAATTGTGTTCAAAATATTTAGGTTTTAGCATTAAATAACCCATAGAGGTTGATATGCCACTCAACAAAATCAACCAACCAACATGGCAGATTCTCTTATCTTATTCTTTTATCTAATTCCTAGCTTAAAAATAAAACTGCTTACCTCAAGCAATATGCTTCTACTTAGCTATGGATTATTTAATAATAGGCTCAAAAGATGGGATTAAATATAATAAGTAGTTATGGCAGCTTCTTTTTATTACATAGCCAAATATTTTGTCAGTCATCTGCACCTATTTTTTCTTGGTAAGAGTAATCAGGAAGACATTTTGTTTGGTAAAGTGTTTAATCCTCTCAAAGTTCATTTGCTGCAATTTTGATTCAGCATAACAATACATAGTTTTGTTATTCCTCAATGGTTTCATGTTGGCGTAAGTGCCTGAGGAAGTTAGAAGGCTGGGAGGGAGAATTTTGGAATGTGTCCTAAAAGTTCACTTTACACACACACACACATAATTTTGTGTAACTAAGATATAACGATATATGTATCAATAAGGTGGAACTCAGCTCGTGACTGAGTATTACCACTTCACAGATTCAACTCACACTGAGAACATGCCTATATTTGAATAGATGACATCTCATATGGCTTGTTAGACCTGCAAGTGACTTGCATGTCATATAACATACACTACAATTCAAAAGTTTGAAACAAACCCCACTCTTCTGTCAAGTTCGTTTCATATGTAAATTTAACTTTTATGAGAAATTTTCCAAAGACAGAAGTAGAAGATGTGCTTCATTAACTGTATTTCGGAATAAAATATTTTAGTAGCATCATGATTTTCCACCTGAAGAAACGTTAATTTTTTAACATTGAAACAAGATGTATAGTTTTGTAGTGTGTATGTACATGTTCTCATGTAACACTGCATTTTGTTTTGAGCCCTGTTTTAAATTAATGTTTTGAACTCTTCATTCTTTTACATCATTTGGATATATATATATATATATATATATATATATAAAAACATAAAACATTAGGCAGCATATAATTTACATACAAAGAAATAATAATTGATTCTATATGTGATTATTTTTTATTATATATATATATATATATATATATATATATATATATATATATATATATGTGTGTGTGTGTGTAAAAATACATAGAAAATAGGAAAGAACTCATTAGGTAAATAATCCAAAGTTCTTTAATATTTTTGTTATTATTTTTAAAAATAGTGCTTGATACAAAAGTAGAGCACAAATATAATTATTTATTTAAAAATATGATTAAAGTACTTAGCTCAGTTCCATCTTCAAGCGAAATTTTTACTGGAATAACTTATTCCTGAAATTTACGCGTTTTATAAGCATATTCATTATTAATTTAATTCAAATAATTATATTGAAGTTTTCAGCTCTTGTTTTGAAACATGAGAACTCTTATGTAGTGTTGGAATCATATTTTTAAATAAATATATATATATATATATATATATATATATATATATATATATATATATATATATATATACACACACACACACACAGAGGTAGCACCAGGCATTTGAGAATGCACTTTTAATAGGCTGTAAATAGAAGCTGGCTTGATTTGATGTCATGTGATATGTACAAAGTTTTAGCATTCCCTCCTCTTTAAAACATATCAAGAGCATTAACATTACAGGTTTCAACCTGACACAGAAACAGCGATGACATGAGCCACCTACCACTGTGAGTTGGTGATAAAAACCTCCTTGAAAGTGGCCAGGTGAACAG